AACTTGAGCACCCCACACTTGCTCTTCGGCCACCTCTGTTCACAGCTACCTACTGTGTGCCTTGGCACAGTGCCATCCCAAGCTGGGGAAGCAGGATGCTGGGCACAGTGATTTGGCTCCCCTCCCAGGGAGAGTCTTTACACTTCTGTGGGGTCACATAAGGTGAACTGTTCTCGGGCTGTGTCCACACGCAGTTCTTGGGGAGCCTTTGCCTCTGGCTTGGCTGGCTGGCTGGAAATGTGCCTCACAAAGCCTGTGTGCATGTGAGCACCTCATTTGCTTAATCCTGGATTTTCTTTGGCCTGCACCAGAGCTCTCTAATCACCACCAGGGAGGGAGTGTCCATCCACACTGTCAGGCTCTTCTGAGTTGGGCCAGCAAGCCGGTATCAGGCCTGCCAGCAGGTGTTTAGTTATCCAATGCTTATTTGCTTTGGTGGTTGCCACATCAGGAAATTAATTTTCCGTTCCTGCTGCTACAGGTGTCAGGTTTTGCCTTCCTCAGAAGCACTAGGTGTTGGCTGCAGCCAAGACTGGGGATTTGACTGGCATATGCCAGTGTTTCTGGTGGGAATTAAACCTGAAGATTCCTGGCTAGAGGGTCTTGTTCCTATGCTTGGGATGAGACCAATCAACACATTTGGGATCAGGAAATAATTTTACCCTGCAGTTGGGGGGGTGGGGGGGGGTGGTGCTTTTCTCTGTCTTGGAGGGCATAGTTCTGTTCCTTGGAGCTCTTCAGAGTATTTTTAACAACCACTTCCTGAGACTTACTACCCTTTCCCCCACACCTTTTATTTTATGTGTACCCTATATGTTGGACTTAGGGACTTGGTGGCACTTCTGCTCAACCTCCTCCTGGCTCTAGCCAAGCTGTCCTTCTAACAGACCAGGAAGGAGACCCTGACCAGGGCAACCTAGGCACCTGTGGGGCTGTCTTCCTTTCACTTATCCATGCATGTCTCTGGGCAGTGTCCACAGGCTTCTTAGATACTTTTGAGGCACAGTGGGCACTTGCCAATGATCTCTGCTCAGGGTCCCACCTTGGAGCCCTGATTGTTAGCCTTTGACCTGTACTCCCCATTCCTGTGTTTCACCTTCTGCCCCAAGAATGTAATTGTTAAATGGTGCAAGCAACATGGCATTGATGGTGCCCTCAGTCACCTGCTTTCCCTGTGTGCTTACCTCGGTGTTGAGTCATTGTGCCTGATGGTTGTGAACCACAGGTGTTTGAATAGTTTTAATAACTGGTTAGCCAGGGACTTGTATGGGATGGTTTTGGATATGGATGATCCTTCCTTGAACAGGGGATTGGCCTATACGGCCTCCTGAGGGCCATTCCAGCCCTAGTTCGCTCTGATTTCATGTGGCACTACTAGCCTGCATTGCAACCAGTTTGTGCTGCTTAATCGCAGTCTGCAAGCTGATTGGTTTGCCCTCACTGCTGCCAAAATGAGATGTGCCTGTTTATGGCCAAGAAGGAGAAGCTGATTTGCCCTGGAAAGAGGGTGCACTGACTTCCAGGAGCTGCATCTGAAGTGCTCTGATAGCTCAGCCTGTGCCTCATCAGCCAGCACCATGTGGATGGGTATCGAACACTCTAGGTCTTGCTTCTTTATCAGCTGGGTGTGGCTGAGCTGGGTTCCTCTAGCCTAGCAACAAGCTTTGTGCCTACTCACAACTTCATTTGCAAACTGTGCGTGGTGTGTTTTTAATATCCACATCCCCAAACACATGTGGCCATGGCAGAGGGGAAGTACAGGCACTTGAGCCTTGGGACTGGTGGGCCTGCAGCTGACCTGCGGGAACCCAGGAGGCCTTCCCAGTCCCCTGGCATAGCCCAGCTGGGAAGGTCTGTGTGGCATCCACACAGCAATCTCAGAGGCATGGTGGTTCACAGGCAGGAGATACAATCTTTGCATGGTGAAGGTGGCAGCCCAAGCTGGACCACTCGTGAGTAACATGGGCATATGGGATTTAGCAGGGACTGGATCTTCCACCTCTTAAACTTCTGAGAAGGTGGGATGAGCAGCCAGCCCACTCCAAGGGACTGAGAGGCATGTTGTGTAGGCAAGTCAAGCTTCCTTGGGCAACTTCAGGCATAGTGGCTGCTGCAGTGTGGAGGCCTAGGTGGGGTGGGAGCTTGTTAGATGGAAGCAAGGAGAAGAATCTGAGGGTATCAGTGTGATGAGATTGTGAAAGATATGCTGACATAAGATGTGTGGAGCAAGGCATCCCCTCTAGAAATGGGGAAGTATCAGTACTGTTGAAGAAGACTCTAGGAGGTATCCTTTGGACTCCTGTGTCCAGTCCTGGTCACCCATAGTCCAGGAAGGTTGGTTGAAACTGGCTTGGGTGCAGAGAAGGGCTACTAGGGTGATTTGAGGAAAGGTGGGGAGAAATCTAGAAGAGATCAGCTTGCTTTTTCCTGCCAAAGGAAGGCTGAGATGGAGGGGAAACTTGAGGAGGGAAGAGCCTTCAGGCTAAAGGCTGCTGCCACAAGAACAAATTGAGTATGAACTGGCCATTGCCGAACTTAGCCTGGAAATCAAGAGGAGGCTCCAAGTCGGGGCAAGAAACTTAACTGGTGTTGAGGCGAACTTCCCCAATGAAAGGGATTCTGTGCTGTGGTGACTATAGCAGCTGAAGCTGGGGCTCTGACCCAGGAGGTCCCTGCCAGGCTGGGGTTGCAGGATGACAAATCCCCCAGCACTAGCTGTAAACACAGAAAGATTTTATTTCTTGATAAGCTCTGAGTTGGGCAGGGAGGATTGCCTAGAGGACATATGGGCTCTGCTCATGCTTACAGCTGTCCCCAGCCACCCTAACTTTCCTTTCTGGTTCCCCAGGAGCTCGGAGCAGTGCCAAGGCAGACTCCCAGGCCAGCGATGACGAGGCAGCCAGCGAAGTGTTGAGTCACTATAGCAGTGCCAGCGAGGGCACCAGTGTTGCAGAGGAAGGCACTGGTGAGTGAGGGGCAGCATGGCAACAGCTGTCTCGGGTAGAGAAAGGGGAGCCCAGGACCCAACTGAGATGCCATATACAGGTGACAATTGCAGGCAACCAGGGACACATACAGTGCATAGCTGAGTGCTCTGTGCTGCTTCCCTTCATCCCAGCCATCCCATGTCCTGGGCTTGGGTGAGATTGCTCCAGATTTAGCTGGGAGCTCTGTCCTGGGTGCCCACACAGCAGTGCCCCTCAGCAGTTCCCTGCAGCACTCTTTCAGTCTTGAATCCTCACACACAGTTCTCAGTGATCTTTTCCAGGGTCAGTTAACAACTGTGGGGGGCAGACTTTCCAGGCCTTTGTTGTGTAAAGGGCTCTAATAGATGGTACAGAAGGCCTTGCATGGTAGCTGTTCCCCTCACTCCAATGTAGATGCCTGTGACCATGCATAGTGCCAGGGCACAAGGTCATGAGGCTGCTGTTCTCCCAGGCCTGTGGTTGGTATGCCTGGGGGCAAGTTCAGGTGCCTGATGCTAAGGGTGCTGCAAGGCCTGGCCGGGGGTGACTCAGGCTGTCTTTCAGGGAGCGACACAGTGGATGAACAAGCTCAACAGGAGGAAGTGGAGGACAAACTGAAGGAGTGCATTGATAATGTGCTGGACAAGAGGTGAGTGGGGTTGGTGCAGGCCGAAGGCTCCCCCTGCCCCAGGGCTGTACCTAATCCCACCCTGCTGCTGTGTCAGGAGCTCTCAGCCCTTCCCACAAAGCTGCACAACCCAGAGACCCTGGATACCTGTTCAGAGAGGAACAGCACAGGTCACAGGACAGTTTTTCAGAGCGTGGCTAGTTGGTTCCCACCCTTGAAAAGAGAAACTTGTTGAGGAAGGTCTCCATCCTGGTAGGAGCTATTGCACATGGGGAGTGGAGGTGTTGCCACTCGCCTAAGAGCCCTCCTTGTGGGCAGATGGAAATCCTCAGCACTAGGCATGATGTGAATCCATTGATGCCACCCTGGGGTCCCTCTGTAGAGGTCCCTAGACAAGCAATAGAGTAACTGGCCTCCGGTTAACCCTATGGCCTTGCCAGGCCATCCATCACCCTAAGGAAGCCCAAGCAGAGCTGGGAAGGGTTGTGCCCTGCCTCTCCTGCTGTGGTTCCTGCTCTGGGTGCTAGATTGACTACAGGTCACTTCTGCCCCACTCTAGCAGGATTCTCTACACTCCCAGAGCACTGCCTTGTTTCCCCAGCACAGTCTCTGTCTTCTCCAGTGCCAAGACACGGCAGGTGGCTCTGGAGAACCTGCGGCTTGCCTTCTCCTCCAAGATGCTCTTTGACTTCCTGCTGGAACGCAGGCTTACGCTCACAGACTCCTTGGAGAAGTGCCTGAAGAAAGGTATGGCTGCCCTGCCCTGCCCTATCCTATCACTCCAGTAGTACTCATTTGGGGCAGGGCTGGACATCTCCCTCAGGCCAGGGCTGTAGGCTGGGATCAGTCCTTGCCTGTAACCAGGATCTTCTTGTGACCTCCACAGGTTGTAGCAGAAATGTGCTGGAGGGTTGGAGCTCTGTATGAGAGGTTTAGCTGTAGGAAATGGGGACCTAACTGGGCCTCTTCAAGCTGCCTAAGGCAGCACATCAGCAACTGAGTACGTAACTCTCAGGCAAACACCTCTCCACTGCCTTGCAGGGATGTCCTGCTACAGTTGGCAAAACAACATCGGGTGTGTTGCTAGCTCCATGTCTTGGGACTACTGCCTTTGCCACCTGCATGGGGTGCTCTGGTCTCAGCTCTGCCCCCATAGGCTAAAATCCTTAATGTACCAGAAATCAGCCTCCCAGGGGCTGGCTGAGCTGAAGAGAGAAGCACCAAGTGCTCAGCTCCACTTGCACAGGTCACCCACCTCTACCTGTCAGTGGATGGGCATCTGTACTATTACATTAGCTCAAGGCACAGTCATTAGTGCTATCATGGGGGAAGGTGGACCGTGGTGCTTACCCCAGTGTCTGCTTCGCACTGCAGGTAAAGGGGAGGAGCAGTCTCTGGCTGCTACTGTCCTCACACTACTGTGCCTTCAGATGGGCTCCGGCCCCGAGGGGGAGGAGGTGTTCCGCAGCCTGAAACCCCTTCTCATCAACATCCTGACCGACACCTCGGCCAGCCCCATCTCTCGGCAGAGCGTGAGTATTGAGCTCCTTTTCCCACTCTGCCATGGTCCACTTGGGGTCAGGGCATGAGGGAGCAGGGCTGTGTGTGCTGCTCATGACAGAGTTAGTGCACTTTGAGGGGAATTGGGTGGGATTTGCCTCAGGACCACATTTCAGAAAAGTGTTGGGCATGGGGCAGGGTGCTGCATGCCCCTCACCTTCTATCCACTCTTTGAGGTTTGGCCAAGTTTCTTAGGAAACTGTTGGATCACAGGCCTGTCACCACCATCTTTGTGGCAGGCCAAGGGTGGAATGAGAATGCAGGCAAGAGGGTGGCACAACTGGCCAGAGGGGCATCTGTGAGTGCCAGGGAGCGTGTGGGCACCTCCCCTACTCCTGCCTGCTTTCCACGGAAGCTACCAAGCCAGGACCCCCCTCAGAAATCAATCCACTATTTTTTTTCGCTCTGGTCAGTGTCCCTGGTCCCTGATGGACTTAAGGTTGTGGAGCTAACCACTAGCATGGAGGCTGAGAACAAAGCCAGCCCAGCCCACACGGCTCCTCTCTGAGTAGGGTGATGCCACCTGGTGAGGGAGCACAGGCCTTGAACTGCACCAGAGGCATTCTCTCTCTAGTGCAGGGTGGGTAGATTCTATGATTTTAACAAGAGGGCTTAGACCTGAGTGAGCACAGCTGGATGTTCAGCCTCAACTGAGGATGGGGAATGGCTAAGGGAGATGGGGTTGCCCCTTTGTTGCCTTCTGTAATCCTCCCCTTTGTCTGCCTCCAGTGTGCTGTGGCCCTGGGGATGTGCTGCTATATTGCTGCTGCGGATTTGGAGGTAAGGAGCTGAGGCCATCTGATCCTTTAAATAGAGCAGCCAAGAGTTCTTGCTCTTCCCCAGAAGGTGAAAGACTTTACCACTCCTGCCACCCCCGCTGATTTCCCTTCCAGCCTTATGCCTCTGGACCCATCCCATCCTGCAGCCCCTGAAAGGCTTCTTCAGAGCCTGCTCATGTTGTGCCATCACTTGGTCATAGCTGTCACTATTGATGAGGACTTTGCTGTTCCAGGGGAGGTGGCATTATCCCCCAACCATGATATGAGCCTGTGTGGCTGCTCATTTTGGGTGGGTGGCAAGGAGGGAGGGGGAAGGAGTCCTAGAAGTCACCAGCTCTAGCCTCAGTGTTAATGACTTCCCCCCACATCTGCAGTTAGTGGCACATCTCTGGCATGGAGCAAGGTAGTAGCTGTGACCCTCCTGACAGCAGCTGTCTAAAGAGCCACTGGGCAGATTGCCAAAGCAGAAACCTGTCTGTATCTCTTCCCATGAGAAGGATGCAACCTCGCTGTGTGCCTGCTCCCAGGTTGAATAGAATCAGAGCGGTCCTTGACCCTGAGTTTGCATGCTTTTAACCTCTGGGTCCTGTTGGCACCCACAGGTGGTAGGATGGCCCTGGCTCTGCTGGGAGAGCCAGCTGCCTATGACCTGGGTTACTCCTGTCCAAGGAGCACGCTTGTCATCAGGAAACTGGCTGCTTCTGGGCTAGCCAGGTGATACCCCAGGGTGAGTAGGTTATGAGGCTCCCTGGCCACCTTACCTCGCTGCCATCTCTTTCCCAGGACTTGATTTCGTGTCTTACCTGCCTGGAGGGCATCTTCAGCACTTCCTGCCCAGAGGAGGGCAACTCCATGCCTGCCCAACACAGTCCTCTGCTCCAGACCTTGCACTGCAATGCCCTCCAGTCCTGGTCCCTCCTACTCACCATCTGCCCCAGCTCCTACATCAAGAAGATCCTGGACAAGTGAGTTAACGCCATCCCACCAAGCCAGGGTTTCCCTGGCTTGTGATGCCCGAGAGAACAGCTGGTATTGAACCTCTCATGCCCATGTGTGCTGTGGCAGGAACTGACTGTCATGATGGGCTGGGAGAGGAGCAGTAGTGGGTGATGGGGTAGGTCTGGCTGCATTAAGACTAAGGGTGCACCAATAAAGATTTTTTTTTTTTTGGCCATGCCAATGGTCGATTTATTAACCAGCCATATTGGCCAGTACCAAACCAATAGCCAGTATGCAGCCCATCAATGTGGAGAGCAGAATCCAGTTGGCAAGTCGGGGGGGCATGAGGGCACAGATCGAGGCTGCCATGGTGAAGTAGGGAGTGGGGCTGGGGCAGGCGCTGCCCAGCCAGGGCAGTAAATGCAACCCTGCTAAGAGTCGGAGGGGCTTGTCCGGGAGGGGGAGGCAGCTCCCTGCTGCTGTGCACACACCTGAGAGGGCATGTGCCCCCCCACTTATTTGTGCACAAGATGAAGGCAGGCTGCAGGCTCAGGGCCAGAGGCTGCACTGGCCTCTTCCCAGCAGAGGTGGGGGTGCTGGGCCAGGGCTGCACTCTGGGCTCTGGGCAGGCAGTGGCAGCATTGAGAGGGGTGACTGGGGTGGGCTACAGCAACCACAAAATTCCCCATAGCCCCTCCCCTAGAAGAGGCTGGTGCAGCCCCTGAGCCCACAGTAGACAGCCTGCCCTCGCCTTGTGCATAAATCTGGTGGGGGGCATATGCCCCCCATTCCTTCCCTGGAGGTGCATGCAGTGGCAGGGAGCTGTCCTTGGGGTCGCATTCACCACCCTGCCTGGGCAACATCTGCCCCTGCCCCATTCCCTCCCTCACCATGGGGCCTTGATCTGCCCCCCACCGCCACCATGCCCCTTCCCTCCCACAGACTTACCAGCTAGAGACTGCTCTCCAAGTTTCTGGGCTTCATTCCTGGCCACATGCATGCTGCAGCTGCACATATGCCTGTGGCATTTATCAGTGGCATGATTGGCTACTTGGTGAGCAGGGGCCATGCCAGCCTCTGCCAGTAAGAGGTAGGGCAGTGGGCTGGTAACATGCACTGCCTCCCTTCTCCACACCCCCCCACCCAGCAAGGTCTGTCTTCTGGCTGTTTGTTGCCCTTGGAGGTGCCCCAGGTGAGCACCACAAGCCTGATGCCACCTCTGTGTTAATCTCCTGCCTTCTTGCCACAGTCACCTACTCAAGCTGCCGCTAATGCTGTCCAGCGACAATGTCAACCTACGCATCACGGCAGGCGAGACCATTGCGTTGCTCTTTGAGCTAGCCCGTGATATGGAGGTATGTCACACCCTGTGGAGGGGCCTGGGCACTGTGGCACTTGCAGTGTGGGATGTGCTTGGTGCAAAGCCAGTGCCCTCTATCTCCTGCCTTCTGGTCCAAGGACCAGCTTCGTTTGCCTGGCTTTCTGTCCTATGGGGAGGTCAGCACCCAAGGGAGGACTGGCATGTGGCAGCTTTCTGCTGCTTCCCTTGTAGAATTGGCAGATTCAGCCTCAGCTGTGATGCCTGAGCTTGGCTCTCCAGCAGTGAGAGCAGCATCAGCTGATTTGCCCTCTACCTCATGCCCTTTCCTTCCTACACTCTTAGCCAGCTCCTACTTTTCCCTTGCTGGAAGGGGTGTTGTGAATGTGGATCTGCTTGAGCTGGGCAAGATCAACTGTGGGATCAGCTCCCTCTCTTGGAACCCTGTGGGGAAACTCCAGCTCCAGGGTAGATGGCTTCTTGCCCTTGGTTCCCCTCTTCCCTAAGTAGGTGCCAGGCTGTGGGAAGTGAGCTCTATGCCAGCATCTCTCCAGTGGCTCCGTTCCCTACAGGAGGATAATTTCTATGAGGACACCGACCTCCTGTGCACCAAGCTGAAAGCCCTGGCCACAGACAGCAATAAGTACCGGGCCAAGACAGACAGGCGCCGGCAGCGCTCGATCTTCCGTGACGTGCTGCATTTTATTGAGGTGCCTGCTATGTTGCTGCCCCCATTGGGGGGTGGGGGGGGCGACGCGAGGGTTTGGACATGATGGATTAGTCCTGTAACGACAGCAGAGTTGAACTGGTCTCTTCCAGGAGAAAAACCGAGCTCCAGGGCTACTGTGCCCCTGCTGAGGGAGAAGGGGCTGATCTCTGGGGAGAGCAGTTATTCCCCCATCAGAGCTGCAAGCTCTTGATCTGTAGGGTCTCCTAGGAAGTAGTGCTCTGACCCTGGTGCCAGCCGTCCCCCATCCCCTGCTCTTATCCACCCAGACAGCTTCTCCCAGCAGGCAGATGGGTTTTTAAAGAGTCTGCTCTGGCTTCGGTCACAGTAGCTGTTATCTCCCTTCTACCACTTTCCATCCCTGAGTGCTCTGAATCCTTGCCTGGAGGACGGGTCTGGGCCTGGCATAACCACCTCCTGCTATTACTGCTGAGCATCCTGGGACTACCCCCATGAACTGGTGGCATGGTGAAAGCTATGGATCCTGCCATTGCACAAGAGTAGGAGGGTCGGTGGTGTCTGTCTTCTGGGGCTGGCCTGGCATCACCCCCGTAGCCCCTGGGTTGGTGGATGGGTCAGGCCTAGTATTCCTTGCTGACCAAAGGGATTGGTGGCAGAGACCACCTCACTTTGCTCCTGTTGTCAGGGCTGGTGCCCTGTCTATTGTAGAAATAAGAAGTCAGGCTGGAAGTGATTTCCATAGGTCACCTGGTCCAACCCCCTGCCTGAGGCAGGATAATCCCTATCCTAAACATCCCATACAGCCATAATCTAACCTCTTAATAAACCCACACAGTCAACCCTGACACAACACCCTAATCTGCAACAGATAAAGTAGGGGGACCACAGCATCCAATGTCCTGCTGCTGTAAAAAGTTGTTAATATACTTTCAGGAGCTCCTGGTTAGAGGGCCATGCCCTACTACAGGGGAAGGCAAAAATTCCCACAGTCCAAACCAATCTTACCAAGGAGTGAAATTTCTTTTCGACCCCAAATATATGGCTATTGGTCTGATAGCCACACCCTCTAGCCAGAAACATCTGCTTTCAAGTCCCAATAGGAGCACTGGCACACCCTGGTCACAGTCCCCAGCTTGAGCTGCAGCCTCATGCTTTGCTGCCTCAGCAGGGTTACAGGTGAGGATGCAGAGCATGGGACCTCTCAGGAATTATCTTATCCCTGCTGGGGATTCTTGCCAGCACAGTTGTCTCTACTGTCCCAATATCTTCTTGGCCAGCAGGGAGCACTGTCACCTCAGGACCAATGTCCCTAGCTCCTGTGAGCCTGGAGGACAGAGCTGGGCTCCAGGGCCACTCATGGCATGAGTGACTCCAGGGAAGTTGCCAGGCAGAGGGTCTGAAAAGATTGGACTGTGACTGATGGTAAGGTCCAGTCATCAAATGACTCAAGGATTTGGGGTATTACTGTCCCACCCCCACCCCACTCACCAGCCAAGTTCCAGGTATTATGGAACAGCAAGTAGCTGGTACCTGTGGTGGCACCTCTCCTCTCATGGGGAACTTCTGGCTGCGTGGAAGGCAAGTCCAAGCCGCACGGGTGTCTTGGTGCATGCTGCAAATTCCTTGCATTGTTCAAGGCCTTCCCCCTTATGGGCATGTCCCTTGTGGTCAGAGCAGGACTTAGTGTTCCTGGGCTACCAAGGGAGGTGCTGATATCCTTTTCCCTGCCCCCAGAGTGGTGAGTTTCATGAGGAGACCATCAGGTTTGGTCTGGAGTGCATGTATGTGGACAGCTGGGTCAGAAGGAGAACATACGACGCCTTCAAGGAGGTTCTGGGCTCTGGAGTCAGGCATCACTTGCAGGTAGGGCCAAGGGGTACGTGAGAGGCCTGGCAGTCTGCTGGGGAAAAAGGGAGATCTCTCAGGTGAGAGAGGGCAGGAGAGGAAGTGCACATCTTGGGTGCCTCAAATGAGTGTTTTGTTTGTGACAGGGCTAGGTTCTCTGGGTGTAGGTGTGTGGGGAGGGGTCTTGGAGCCCAGCCTTATGGCAGGGACCTGCTTCTGGCCCTCAGCCCAGCACACGCCTACCTAACAAGTCCCTTCTCCCCACCAGAACAATGAGCTGCTGCGCGAGATATTTGACCTGGGCCCTCCACTGGTGCTTGATGCTGCCGCCATCAAAGCCAGCAAGATCTCCCGCTTTGAGAAGGTGTGATGCCACTCCTGGGTAGTATGTTGGCCCTCTCCCATCTGGCACCAGAGTCCCCCAGTCCTGAGAGTGGGGAATGCAAAGCATTGTCCACAAATGGGGCTCCACTCCTAGCTCTACTGGTGGGGACACCCCTGGAGGGTGTATGTATAGGGGCATCAGGGACAGGACAGCCCAGTTATTTGACCCAAGGGAGAAATAGTTAAGCTGGACAGTGGCTGGGAGCTGGGCTTGATGAGAGGTGCCAAGAGGAGAGACTTATTATGCCTTGCATGCAGGGAGTGGCATCTATTGTGCCTGGGCCCAGGAATCTCCAGAAGGGGATTGAAGTCTCTTGGGGCCTGAGCCAAAGCTCCCAGCCTTCGACTGGTTTCCTGCACCCCTCTTTGCTGGTATACCTCCCTCACTGACATAGAGAGGGGACAGGTTTGGAACCCTGGGGGACTGAAGAGTCACAGAAGAGCTAGGAGCCCTGGCATGGAAGCCTGAGCAACCCTGCTTTGGCTTGGACAGGGCAAGAGTTCACCCCACTAGTCCACTGTTCCATTTAACTCCCCTAGCTTAATCAGCCTGAGTCTGCAATCACAGCCTAACCAACCTGTGTCTCCCCCAGCACCTCTACAACTCGGCCGCCTTCAAAGCCCGGACAAAAGCCAGGAGCCGTGTGCGTGACAAGCGAGCCGACATCCTGTAACAGGGGCTGCTTCCTGCGACCCCTCCTTCTGCACAAATCCATGGACTACAGACCCCAACCACTGTGATATAGGGAGAGAAATGGGAGGGGAGTGGCACCAGATGCTCCCCCCTCCCCACTCCTGAAAGTGCAAAGCTCATGCCACATGCTCCCTCCTCCAGCTCTGGGGGCTTTTATACAAGAACAGAACCGTGTATGAGGGTGTGGATTGTGGAGTTGGTGTGGCAACTATGGGCCAAGGCCCTTTTTTATTTTTATTTTATTTTATTTTTTAACCAAAAAAAAAAGTAAGTGAGGTTTTGGGAAGTGGGGAAATCCTTGCCTCCCCCACCCCTGCTCCCTAGCTAGTGGTTTTTGCCTCCCTCACACTTCCCTCCCTCTCCCCCTCTGGCTGTGTGCACTAGACCAGCCCCCTCCTGCCTCCACCAGTAAATCGGTCCAGTAGGCTCCCATAGTCTCCATGGAGATGCCATACATCAAAATGTAGCTTGCTGGGGCATGAGGAAGGGGGTGACAACAGAGGTGCGGGAGAGGTTTCCTGTTCCCTGCCCTGCAGTGGCGGGTGCCTGATGTAGACTGGCTGAAGCAGACATTGGGAGATGCTGCTGGTGGTGGTGTAGTGCAGAGTAGGGTGGGGCGGGTTTCCCCCCCCCCATGTCTGTGACTCCCATCATGCTGTGCCAACATTGCAGTGCTGCTGTCATGTCACTCAGGGCCTGCTTGTGTAGACCTGTCCTCTACTCCCATGGTACAGGCCTGCCTGCCTCTTCCCTTACCCTAGAGCAGGAGCCACTGGCTTCAGTGGCATCCCTGTGTAGCACTTGGGCCAGACTAGCCACCCAGGCCCCTGTGGGACTAATGGTTCTCTTATGTCTTGGTGCTGGGCAGGGCTGTTTGGAGGGTTTCTTACTGCACTGGAAGGGTGGTCTCTAGTAGTACAGGGTGCACTCACAGCGATGAAAGGAAAGCCTTTCCATCATGCCTGCCTGCCTGCTTGCCTGTCCTGGCTCCATGCAAAGGTCAGCCCCCCTCTCCCTGTTCCCTTGGGGGAACAGGCACTCTCCCCAAAAAGCTGGCAGCACAACCCCCTCCTAACACCGAAGTTGCCTCCTGTCAGTCCAAGCCAAAGCTTGAAGGAGTCAGACTGGGCCAGGTGTGATGGAGGCTGGATGAACTCACTCCTCCCTGTGCTATCTCACCCCAGCCCTGGGACTGGGCAACCTGGAACTGGTCAGAGATGGGAACTTAACTGCAGCCAAGTGGAACAGAGGGGATGTGGGGCAACCGTCAAGGCTCTGAAATGCTGGGGGGGGGGGCCACAGGGCTAAGTACCTGCTTTTAAATGATTTGTTTCTATCCTGTGGTGTAGGTTGTAGTTGTGTTGATCTAAGGACATAAGCTGACAAAGTTCTTTACTAAATCTGGTATCTTTTATTAAACCAACCCAAATAGTTGGAAAAATTCTCCTTTGCAAGCTTTCAAGTACAAATACCCTTCATCAGGCAGAAGAAGCTTCTGTAGTTGGTCTGTGCTCTTCCTGGATGGAGTAGTAAAGTAGCCAGAGGCCAGTACTTATTCAAGACAGCCAGTCAGTTAAAATGTAAATTAAGGTAGTCAGTAGGTGAGAGATTTAAAATGTAAATTGACTACCTCAATTTACATTTTATTAGGTAGGTTATAATGTGCCATAAATCCAATGTCTGTATTTAGCCCATGATTTTTTTTTTTTGATTAATCCAGTCTCTGAAAGGTGTTTTGTAAGTTCCCTTTGAGGACTAAAACAGTGATTGGAGAGAGGGTGAAAAATATGTAGGAGAAACCAAACAACAACTGCACCAGAATGAATGCACACTGAAAACCTATTAAAGACAAGAATACCCAATTACCTATGGGGGCACATTTCTTACAAGGAAGCCACTGTCTCTCCAGTGTCTCAGTTCTAATCCTCAAAAGGAATTTACAAAACACCTTTCACAGACAAGGTTATGAACTTCACTTCCTCAACCTACTAAATACAAAAGATCTTTCCCCATTCCCCCACCTGTCTTTCACCCTGGCAAAGGGTATTTGTACCCAAAAGCCTGCAAAGAAGAATTTGAGTCGGTTTAATGAAAGACACTGGATTTATCCAAAGAGCGTTTATTTGCTTTGTTTTTATCCTAACACTGTCCAGAAGCCCCTTTGGCTCTGACCCATGTTTCTCCCAGCCCCAGCACATGTGGGCAGTGCAGACTCAGCACCACCCTCCTATCTTTCCCCAGCCCAGCCCAGCTGGTGGCTGCAGTGGGATAGGTGCTAGCCCCACCATCCTGCAAAAGCCATTTGGTGCCTTTGGCTGGGGGGCATAGCAGGGCACCAGTTCCTTCCCCATGGCTCTTGGTGCCTGGTGAGCATTAGGGCCCTTCCCTTGCTCCTTGCATTGACTTCAGCCCTGGGCTGAACTGTGTCAGCTGAGGTTGGAAAATGCATTGGGCATCAGCTTGGATTGCAGTGGTGGTGAGTGGAACAATGACTCAGAAGTAGAGTCGTCCGTTGTCAAACCCCCCCCGCTGTGCCTGAGATATATGCACCACAGGTCTGGAGTGATTCTTGTAACCCCTCACCATTATGCTGGCTGGTAGGCAGAAGCTTGGTACGGAAGTTTGCTGTATGGATTCCAGCTTGCTGCACAGAAGAATCATGTTGCTTTGCTCTGCTGGGGCTGTGCCAAAGCAGTGCCAGGCCTCCAGGGCTTGCAGAGGGGTAGCAAATAAGTGCCAAATGGGGAGAAATGACCCTGCTGAGCCATTGGAGTGTGGGGAGGGCAGGGACTTGGGGGAAGTGAGCCCCAATTTGCAGCAGCTCCTGAGTGAAACAAGTGTCCCTTGTGGCCGCTGCTCAGGGCTGCCTGTCCCCACATGCCATTGGGGTGCCTCCCCCCACCCCTACCTAGGGGGTTTCCCAGGAATGTATTTATGTGATTTTATAAGATGAGGATTATTACAATAATTAAAAGGCTCATTGAAGAGTTGCTTGGCAGTTGTTTTGGTGCCGAGGGCACATGGGCTAGGATGGGAAGGGAGAGGTGACCAAGTGGGAGCACGGGAATGATGGGCTGGCTGCTCTGGTTCCTTCCTGACCTGCAGGGCTGTGCTGGCTGCTTCCTCACAGTGACATGTTCCCCCCCATGCCTGAGGGGGATGAGCAGAAAGGGCAGTTTTCATCTAAGCTCCCCCCAGGATCTTTGCTAGTGTGGGGCATGCTAGGCTTACATCCTGCTCCTGAGGACAGCCTTGAGTTTTCTGCTGCTTTGTCCTGGGGTAAGGACCAAACGCCCTGAGAGAAAAACCTGATGGAACAAGCACAAGTTGTGCTTGCTGCCATGTCTGCCCTGCAGTGATCTGTGCCAGCCCCCACTAGGCCAGCTCCCTCTAGCTACCCCTGCTCTCTGTGCCTTGCCTCACCCCACCCTGTTCTGCCCAGGCCCCTCTTGCCAGCATCAGCTGAGCAGCTGTGACGTGCAGAGCCAAGATACCAGAACTTCAGTGTCCTGGGCCCAGGTCCCTCTCTGCTGGCACAGGGTAGGGATAGAAGGTAGGGGTGCTGTGTGCTGCCTGCTCCCTGTCAACTGCCCAAATGCAGCCTTAGCATTCACAACACAGACCAGGCCTTGGATCTCTTCTCCATACCTGCTCTTGGCTCTGGGGCACAGGCAAGTCCCTGGAGCCTGGCTGTTTGTTGGGTTGATGCAGCAGTTCAAATATCTTTTCACTGGAGGGATGGAGGTGCACACCCCCAGCTGCTGCCTTTGGCTTTGTTCTTGAGCTGATTCTATGTCACCCCAAAGGCCCTTGGGGCTGCCCTTCCATGGGCCTGCTTGGCAAAGCTGGAGGACCCAGGGGTTTCCCAGGCTTTACCTGGCTCCCAGGGGCTGCAAGACTGCTCTAGCTTCTGTTATATGAGCTGTGTGGGAAGTGGTCTGTACCATGCACTGATTCCCATTAGGTTGGGGCTGATCCGAGACAGCAGCCTGCCCTCCCTCCCTCCCTCCCCACTGTACCATTTGCCCCCTTGGGCCAGAATGCTGCTGTGCTCCTGGGGCAGGTGCAGGCGGTGAGGCTGTCAGCAGGGCATGTGCATCGTGGCTTTATTGTCACATATAAAAATCTATATGTAGATGGATGGAGGAAGCATTGGTGTGAGAGCTGGAGGGGGCAGTGTGGGGAGGATTATAAATAAGGTGCTCCTGTAGGGAAGGGGATAGGGGTTCTCCACCTAACAGAGTAAAGTCTTCTGCTCCTGGGAGAGGCCCCAGGTCAGTAGTGATGGTGCCCTAATAAAGCCAGCAGTCTGTACTGTGGCCTCGGGGCCCCCACAGGGGTCAGTCTTTACCCTGCAGAAAGGGGGGTGCTGTCTCGTACCAGTGTCCTAGAAGCGCCAGGCAGCACAAGGCTTCTGCCCTCCCTGTCCAGGGCCAGAGGGCACAGCAGGCAGGACAGTGTGGCTCAAGTCTGGGCTCCAGGCTCTGTGGCATTCAGCCGGCTCCACAGCTGCAAGCTGGTGGCTCTCATCTGCCGCACGGATTGCTCCTGGCTTGTCAGCCACTGGGAGAGGACGCGCAGTGACTCGCTCTGCAGGACTGTGGGCCAGGAGGAAATGGGTAAGATCCCAGCCAAATGAATCCTCCCAGCTATGCAGAGAGGACCAAGACTTGCACTCCCCGCTCACTGCCCAGGGAACAGCTTCCTTGCAGCCTCCAGTAGGGGGCAGCAATACCCACAGCTCCCCACTACTGGTACAGCAGGAAGCTGGAGCTCTAAATGTCCCATGAAGCTGAGAACATCTCTGCTTGCCCTGCAGTGCCCCAGGTGGCAAGGCTGGAAGCTGGCTCCAGCACCCTCAGCCGAGGGGCATCTCCCCAGGGTGGGATGCTTAGGCTGACAAGGGGCCATAGGCCCAGCAGGACCCCCCAAGTACTGAATCCTGCCTGCCCACGAGCCCAGCTCAGGCTGCTGCCCCCATCCCAGGGCTAAACTGGTTCCTCAACCTGGTCACCCTTGGGCTCCCTGGCTGGGCTGGGGTGGGGACCAATCCAGGCCCTGCCTGTGACTGCACCACAGCGGGCCATTGTCCCTGGAGTAGGGTGGGGCTGTGAGTTGCCATCCCAATGCCACCCTCAATGCCATTCTTGCCATCCCAGTACCACTCTCCATTCCTCCCTCTGTCCTCTCTGGGGCACGGGCAGGCAGAGTCGGGTCAAAGGGCTGATGGAGTCCCACAAAGTCAGTCGTCCCCAGATGAATGAATGCAGCATGGGATCAGGGCAGGCATGTGTGGTTTGCCCGTGCCTGCTGTACCACGTGCTAGCCCATAGCTCCCAGCACAATTCCCATGCACTCACGAGGGGGAACCCTTGCTCCCTCGGTGCCAATGGTTCATGCCCCACGCAGGCAGGGTGCTCAGGACAAGGGAGGTGAGTGCTCTGCTCCTCCAGGGTCCCTGGCAGGGCCATGGCCTGCCCCCTACCAATGCTCTCCCACTCCTTGCTTGCCCAACCCAGGCCAGACCCCCATGGGATCAGTGACAGGGAGGGAGCACCACGTACCGCTGAGGTACACGGCCAGCGTGGCAAGGATGAGGCTGGCCATCACCAGCATCCCGAGAAAGGTGAAGAGGGCCCGGCGGCAGCAGATGGGACCGAAGCAGGGGCAAACGGGGTCAGGGCGGACGGGGCGCAGCATGGGCAGAAGCCCATGGTGGGGGGTGATGTGCCTGGCAGGGTGGGCGTGCAGGGCTGGCGGGGCATTGGACCGAGATGGGTCATTCCCTGGAGGAGGGAGAGGTTAGGTTAGGAAAGCGTAAGATGCCAGCACCCCTCTGTCCACACGCGCACGTGCACACACCCCAGTACTGTGGCATCTCCTCCTGTGCCACAAGCTGGAAGGCAGCCCTATAGAGGGGAGAAGCTGAGCTCCAGTGCCACAAGGCTGGACGTGAACTTCAACACCACAGCACCCTGCTCACTGAGGATCTGCCATGCAGTGTACCTGCCACAGGATCCTCCCATGCTCTTCCCATGCTAGCTTCTTGTCTGCGCCAGCCTGGACACAGCACAGGTCAACAATGGGCTTTCCAAGTGAGCAGCCTGCAACACAGCCTTTCAGGCTTCAGCCTGATTGCTGCCAGACCTCACCCCTGTCCCACCAGGCTCTTTCCCTTGCTGCTGAGCCGTGTCCCATTCCCTGCCCTGTCTCTGGATCTCCCACGTTCCCTGATGTGGGGTGAGATTTGGCATCCTGTCTTCATCCCCTTGACACCCACCCACCCACCATTCCCAAACAGCTGATGGCTGTGGCTCTGCTAGTCCCCAACAGAGCCCCCTCCCCTCCTCCAGGACTGAGGGGGAAAGGTATCCTTGTTGCATCCCCAAATTTCCCTGCACCCCAATCCTCTCACTTCATGCTGAGGTCTCAGTAATGCCCCTGTTGCTTCCCCTCCTGCTGGGACTGGCAGGCTTTTGTGTCCTGGCAGATGTGTCCTGGCCAGCAGTGTGATTAGGATCTCTGGACTGAGTGAGACACCATCCATGGTCTAGCTGGGAAGCCTACTACTCAGAACCACCCTCTCTGCCCACTTTGCATGTGTGCTGGGACCAGGTCTTACCTTCTGTGCCCTTGTGACTCTCCTGGCCCCCAGATGCCCAGTACAGGTCACTGATGGACTCCACTGGGTGCAGGTCGATGTCAGCCAGATCATTCCCGCTGAGGCTGAGGGGCTCCCCATTGAGGGATGCTGCTGCTGTTGCCACTCCGTCTGCTAGAGAAGGAGGATCTGTGATGGGGGGTGGCTTTCCAAGGCTTGGTGATGGTGATCTCCAGTCACATCCCATCTGGCCCATCCCTAGGGGCAGGCCAGGGCTCTTCCC